CACAATAGTTTCTTTTTCTGCCTCCAGGTGGTCTGACTAGTCTCCCTCCCCATAGAACTCAAAGGTCCCAGGCCTATTCTTCTTTCAAACCAGAGGACGACATCCTATTCCAGTGGCGCCTGCGGCGGAAGATGGAGGAAGCAAGTAAAGCTGTCACCATGATGCCCTCACTAGCCTGGAGGAGTCAGAACAACCAAATAAGCTTGGCTTCTGGCATGGTAAAAACTTGAGAGGAATGGCCAGTTCTCATCTGGCTGTTGAGAACTCAGGTGCTGGAAGCAGAGAGATCCTGTCTCAGCTAAACCTCCATGAAAAGTTTAGGTCAAAGCAGGGAACATTTTTCCCCTCTGAGAGCTGTGGGTGAGACAAAGGCAAAAGGATGATCCAAAGTACTAGCTGTATTTTAGCTGAAAGTTCAGCTAGTAACAAAACCATAGAAGGAATATTTTGACTTCTGAAAAAGGGGGGAGAAATCCATACAAAGGCTAGGAAACCATCAAGTGGTGGTGTCATTGGGAAGAGGGCATGAGGATCTGGGGAATCCCAGGAAGGTTGGAATTGATTCCAAGACCTGACATTCCTCATTATACGCCACCCGCCTCCAGATCAAGTAGTGATATTTAATGTATCAGTGGATTATTGAGCAGTAGTTACAAAACAGCAGCTTTTCTCAGTGGCCTCTTATGTGACACATGGCTATTTTGCAGCACAGAAACCAGATAGAAGGTAGAACAGTTTTTACCAGTATCATTTTTAACTGAAGTTTACTGGGATTTGTGACTGTCATGGGTGTGTGTCCATGTACAGTAATGCTTATGGCTGTGTGAGTGTGTACTGCATCTCTGATTTCAAATGAAAAGTATCCTGTTGCAGAGTTGCACTCACATGAAAAGAGCGATGTCATCCGCAGCAGCAGACTGCCACTAATTAAATAGTTCCTTTTCTGATTTTGAGATGCATGCTACTCATACACAGTGAGATGAAGTTGCGTGTTGTGTTGCAGAGTTGCACTCACATGAAAAGAGCAATATCACCCACAGCAGCAGGCTACCGCTAATTAAATAGTTCCTTTTCTGAATTTGAGATGCATGCTACTCACACACAGTGAGCTGAAGTTGCATGTTGTCCAAAACAAAAAAAAGGACACTTATGCTGTGCCAGTGGAGCTCTGCGGGAGGATACTGACCATTGAACTGCATGTGCATGAGACTTGGGGATAACATTCTTGCCACTTTCCTTCCTGCTTTTCCTTTACAGTGAGGTAGAGACGCTTGTTATTCCTGTTCAGCATGGCAGGGTGTAGAGTCAGGAGTAGACCTGTGTAAATGTTTCTCCTCACTACACCATGAAATACAGCCTGGACTTTCCAGTTTATTGGACTTTGTGCATTACAGGTTGAAAGAGCAGTGCTGAAATCACCGGAACTCACTAGTTGCAGGAGTGAAAGTGGCAACGTTTTGCCAATATCTGAAGCCCAACGAGGTATGAAATCTACTCTTGATGAAAGCCAGCCCTGCTGCTGTGCTGGCCCTGTGAGAAAGGGGCTCAGCTCACAACAGGTCAGAGAAACTGCTGTCTTCGGGAGTAGGACAGTAATGGTTGGAAGTCTTGAACCCATTGAAAAGCAAAGACTCAAAGAATCAACTCCCCAGCAGGATTCTGTCCCTGCATTCCCAAATTGTTGTCATATACCGAGGCCTGCACCCAACAGAGAGCAAGAAGGGAAGAAAACAATCCCACAAGAAGAGTGTGGCTCAGCAGTTCCAGTCTCTCCTCTGTCACCAGGGTTTAAAGGACCCAACAAGCCCCCGAGCCAGAGCATGCTGTGCCATGCTCAGCAAATAATTCCATCTGATGAAAGAGCTAACGTTGAACCAAGAGGCCATACAAATCCAAACAGAACCAAGCAGAACTGGAGGCCATACAAATCCAAACAGAACCCAGCAAAACCTGTCAGAGATACCAGAGAGCCACCACTCAGCCCAGCAAAACATTCTGTCCAGTGCGTCTTGGAAGAGGTATATATACATCTGCATTTTAGTCATCACAAAATTTTTTAGTCACCATCAGGTCTTTGAAACTAGTGTTAGAATGTATGCATTTATTAACACTTTTGTCCTACCCTAGATCTAAAGATCTCATGGCAGGGTGCAGTCAATAAAAGCAACTTGAAAACAGTTCTAAAACAATTAAGTCAATGTATAACTATTCAGAATAATTAAAGAATAAACAAAACTCAGAACAAAACAATAGGAGTGAAAGAATTAGCACATGTATATTTAGAATATTTGTGCAAACAAGCAAACTATTTAAATGGCAGAATTCTAGATTCTCCATTTGGTTTTGGGATTGAAAATGATATTGCCTCTAAAAGAAAGAATGTGACCCACCATAGAACATCTGCATGTAGCTGAATAGCCTCAAGTTCAGTCGGCTTACTGAGAGCATCAGGAATGACAGTTCTACCTCTGTCCTTCTTACCAGAAGATATAGGGCACAAAAGAAGAGGTTTAATGGGAATTCTCTCTCTTCTGTCTAGGTGGTTTCTGAAAGGCTTTTCTCCCCACCTGAATCTCCAGTTCTTGAGAGACAAAAACCAAAAAGGAGTTCAGAAAACTGGGACCCAGAGCAGGCTGTGCCAAACCCCGTTGCAACTCCTTCACACCCTCAGCTCCTGGATATGGCTGTGCAGTTATTGGAACAGGCTGAAGGTGGGATAATTGTAAACAGGGAAGGTAGATGTCTTCAAGCATAATTCCAGTGTCGGTGGTAGTCTCCTCAGTTATTTTGCCTAGTTATTTGTCCCTTTGCTTCCTGTGTGAATATTCCATCAATTCTGGACAGGAAATGTGGACCAAGGATTCAGCTGACTATTTGTGACACAGAAGACAGGAAGGGTGCTTTACTGCTTTTGAAACAGGAGCCGTTTCGTATACCTACTCCTTTGTCTTCAGCAAAACTGGGCACACAATCAGATACTCAGTGTAGACAAAGCCCAAAAGTTATATAAAGTGTGTGCATTCTGAGCAAGGGAGTCTTGATAAAACATTGCAGCAGGAAAAAGGAGGTGTGTGGAGAAAAACTCGAACAGCAAGGGTGGTGAAGGGACTAAATGTTTTAAATAACTGATAGATATCTCAAGTCATTTGGCATGAACTTGATGGAAAAGTGTGAGGACTTACATTAGGGCAAGAGGTGACCCTCACTTAGTGAAGGTGTTTTTTTGTTTTGTTTTGCAGATTCTGATGGCACAGAGTTCGAGGATGATCCCCTGTTGCAGGTGCTGAGATGCCAGAGAGAAGTGCTACGCAACCAGATGAGGTGGGTTCACAAATTCACAAATTGTCCGGAAGCATTCTCACTTGAATTGCTATTTTACCACTGAATTAAGTTATCTCATACCAAGTGGGTTAGAAATAGAAAATCTTCTGTTTTTCTGGACTGACCCCAATGCTTCTACCTTGGCTTTGGAGCATACCGGGTATCTCAGACCAAATAAATTGAATCAGTAGCAGATATGTTCCCTCTGTGGGTCTCTGTGTCTTTTGCAGTACCTAGATGTGTTCTTCTGTTTATATTTCTCCTTTCCTGCTCCCAGGTTTTGAAACAATTCAGTGAAATGGTTTCCATTAGAAAGTATTTATTATTGTTTTTTCCCCTTTGCCCTTATTTCCAACAAGCTTAAGGTAGCGTGTTTTGTTCTTCTCCACCTATTTTATTCTGACAACTTCCCCAGAGAGTCTGAAGAAAAGTGATAGGTCCAAGATACTTCAGAGGGGAGGAGTGAAGATTGGAACCTCTTATCAGGCACTCTAACCTAAACTTCATCAGCCTGGTGTCTTCCACATATTTTGGACTATATGCCATCCTTCCCAGCTGAAAAAATAAGAGTGCATCATATAGGAAATGCCTAGTAATCTTAAAAGTCAGATGTGTGGCTGATCTCTTTAAAAGGTTCCATGATCACAGAGTGGAGTTTGGTGCTCTGCATATCATTGTGACACTCCCCATGTCTATAAGAAGCAAAACAAATCGCTGTATTTTTCCATGTATAAGACACTAGTTTTTCCTAAAATCATTACATTAAAAATTGAGGGGCATATTTTACATGGAAGTGAGCCAAGAACATGGAGAGAACAAAATGGCCCATACCTTGCCTCTGTAAACAGGCTTCCTTCAATCACAAGGCTTAGATGCCTCCCTAAAAAACAGAAACAAAATTCAAAATGACCTTGATAGGATGGCGCACTGGGCCGAAAGCAACAATGAAATTCAACAAGGATAAGTGCAAAATACTGCACCTCGGAAAAAGAAACCAATTGCACAGTTACAAGATGGGGGATACCTGGCTCAGCAAAACTGCGAGTGAGAAGGATATTGGAATTGTTGTAGATCACAAGCTGAATATGAGGCAACAGTGTGATGTGGCTTCAAAAAAGGCAAATGCTATTTTAGGCTGCATTAATAGAAATATACAGTTTCCAAATCCCACAAGGTGCTTAGTCTACCTCTATTCAGCACTGGTTAGGCCTCACCTTGAGTATTGTGTCCAGTTCTGGACACTACACTTCAAGAAAGGTGCTAACAAATTGGAACAAGTTCAGAGGAGGGCAACAAGGATGATCAGGCGGCTGGAAACCAAGCCCTGTGAGGAAAGACTGAAAGAATTGGGCATGTTTAGCCTTGAGAAAAGAAGACTGAGGTGTGATATGATAGCACTTTTCAAACGTTTGAAAGGCTGTCATTCAGAGGAGGGCAAGATCTGTTCTCCGACATCCCAGAGTGCAGGACACAGAACAGTGGGTTCAAGTTAAACAAAATCAGATTTCAGTTGAGTATCAAGAAAAACTTCTTAACTGTTAGAGCAGTACGACAGTGGAACCAATTATCTTTGGAGTTGGTGAGTGCTCCAATACTGGAGGCATTGAAGAAAAACTTAGATAATCACCTGGCACATATGCTTTGATTGTATTTCTGCACTTAGCAGGGGGTTGGACTTGATTGCCTTGTAGGCCCCTTCCAACTTCACTTTTCTATGATTCTATGATCAGGAGGCTTTGCTTCCTACAGTCAGGAGACTTAGCTTCCTCCATGGAACTGACGTGAGCTGATTGGAACACACGTCATTGGAGCCTGTAGGCTCAGATTCAACAGGGACTCCTCATGTCCAAGCGTTCTGAGCCCGGAGGCTGAATACTCAAAGCTAAGTTTTCTTAATTTTTGGTTTAGAAAAGTGTGTACTGGGGGAGTCTTATAAATAGAAAAATATGGTATACAAGGTAGGCAAGAAGTGTCAAATTGTCTATGTTGGTGGGGAATTTTGATTTTTATATAGTAAAGAGCATATTTGAGCCCTTCATGACACCTGTTTTCTGCCATACATAATTGCTATGTTGGTCAGTGTTCCAAGTTAGATACAATCACTTGATTCAGCTGGACGGATTACCCTCTGATGGTATGGCTGTGTTAATTGTGGTTTCATACTCTGTTGCTGTGGGTATCTGACCCTCATATTTGGTATGCCTTTGTGCTTTGTTTCCTTGCAGAGCTGTGGATGTCCGGATGGGTCAACTAGAAGTTTATAATTCTGATCAGAACTTCTCTTGTCGATGACAGACTCCTCCGAGTGATTTTCTGCATCTGGAGTGCTTTGAGGGTCCATTTGTCCTGCTCTGAGATTATGGCAGTAGACTGAGCAGAATCAGGATTAATGTTCGGGACTAAATCTGTCATACTCATCCAGCCAGCAGGACCTCTGGTCCTGCTGGCTGGGATTCCAGAATTAAACTTTAAAAAAGTAGGTTTTTTTATTTTTGGGACTGAGCTTTGTACTGTATCTTTTGGATTCCTCAAATATAACTTCAACCAAATGACCTTTTTATTATTAACACTCTCCTGGTTTGGTTGTGCTGCATTCACCTCCTAAGGTAGCATATTGATGGAATCCAACTGAGAATTTAATGTGACCAAGCATTGACATGTAGGGTTGCCTCTGGTGCATAGACAGTGCTCTGTTCCCATGGATTCATTCTGTATTTTTTGTATTGTGTTTAAACCTAAAAGTGTCTTTTCGGACTAAAGTGAATTGTATTGCTTTATAATACAGCAGCATCACTTGAAGTGGTGGTGAATGTCATCTGCAGCCTTTTGATTTAGGAAAGAGGCGATGAGCAATGCTCAGGGTCCCAAGACAGAGAAAATGTGTTTTATGTGTATTTAAGCCACCTGTGGATTGGAACTTTGATAAATCTCAGCCATAAATAAACTATTGTACACGTTATTGAATATTATGTCCCATGTTTCCTGATAGCTGTCCTAGGCAGTTTGCATTGTAAAATAAAACAATCACAACAACATCCAGTTAAAAACAATAATAAAATCAACAGGACCATCAAAGCAAGATTATAACTCAGACCAAGAACAGAACTGATTGGGGGTTGGCATCAGAATGTACACAAGTTTTTTCCCATCACTTGAACACCAGTAGTTTAGGTGTACCCCTCTCAAGTGCTCCCCCCCAATTGGGGTCTTTTTTGCTTATAGTTCATCTGCCTAAGATCTGACCTGGGCAAAGGCCAGCTTTGTATAGAAGGAAGTATTCTTTCTGGTAGTCTGGCCCTTTGCCCTGGTTTTGTGTGGTATCCCATAGATGAGAAATGTCTGGCTCTTCAGATAGTATTGGAATACAGCTCCTGTCAGTCTAGATCAGCATAGCCAGGGATGGATGGTGAGAGTTGCAGCCCGAGGAGGGTCACAAGTTGCCTGCTGCTTCTGTAGCTAAACATGATTTCTGGGAAAGCATTGGTATATGGTTTTGTGAGGAAGGCAAATGATTATGTGATATCTAGGTCTGTAGTAATTGACTTAATATGGCATGAATTTTGCCTTTAAAAATGCTGCTAATTGTATACCTGTAATCCAGAAGCCCCCTTCCTACAGCGGCAACTCTGTCTTGTTGGGGAAAACATTCTATGTGCATGATATAGGAGCAGCATCAGGAGTTTCCATTCTAGATAAGAGAGCGTAGTAACAATGTGGGTCAAGATGAAAAAACCATAGATTGCGTGGGATAATGTTCTCTCTAGATGTTGTTGGATAGCAACACAGTTCTTCACCGTTGGCTGTGCTGGCTAGGGCTGATGGGAGTTGTAATCCCATAACATTTAGTGGGTCATAAATTGCTCATTCTTGCTACAGTTGGATATGTTCTGAATAAGACTGTGGGCCGTTTACATGGTGCTTGGAGGGATCGAGCAGATATACAGTATCTTGAATAGCATCAACTTCTCCCTCTGTTGGATTTTGATGCTATCTGTTGAAAATAGTGTTCCTTTCTGGATTGGATCTGAAGTCTATTCAGTCCAGAATTAGGTTGCTAGCAGTAACTAAGTGGCTGCCTCCTGGGTGCTGAAAGTGTTGAACTTCCCTTGTTTGACCCCAGCATCTGGTGCCAAGAGATTGTTTCTGTACATGAAAGTGTTTGTTTGGCTTTCATTGCTAATATCCATTGTCAGCTTTTCTTTCCAACAATTGGCTTAAGCCTTTTAAAAAGCGATCTAAGCTGATGGTCATTGCTGCTTCTTGCAGAAGTGAAGTCTGTAAGTTAATTATGAATTATGTTTAAGTACTTCCATTTGTTTGTTCTGAACCTATTGTCGGTTTCATTGAAAGGTGACCTAGCTGCCTGAATCTAATGTCAAAAGGATTTAATTTTAATGTATTCTTGAAGGTTTTCACGGCTCGGATCTGATGGTTGTTGTAGGTTTTTCAGGCTGTTTGGCTATGTTCTAGAGGTTTTTCTTCCTAACATTTCACCAGTCTCTGAGGCCGGCATCTTCAGTGGACAGGAGTTAGAACTCTGGTGTAATGTGTGGGATAGTTCTGGTGTAGTGTATGGGACAGTTGAGTATTTGTAGCTGTGGGATCAGCTTTTTGTCCTTTTCAGGAGATTGGGTGATTATGGTGATCAGGATGTTTTTTGTTATGGGTGTATCAGCATGTTTTTTGTTATAGGTGTGTAGTTGTGATAAGGGGGAGATGATCTGTCACTGTGATTGATGGATGTTGTTAGCTAGTCTTTTCTGTGCAGTGATTACTAGTCCTTGTGGCTGGGTAGAGTTTGTTGACCTTTTTGCAGACTGCATTTTTCAGTCCTGGGAGCCAGGCTTTGTTGAGTTTTAGACTTCCTTCTTTTTTTGTTGAAGCTGTGCTGGTGTTTGTGGATTTCAATGGTTTCCTTGTGTAGTCTTATGAAACCTCTTATGACTACACAGGGAAAGAAACATACAACCATTTATTTTTAAGCTTTAACCTTGTCCTCTAGTTAATATTGGAGCTGCTGCTCTGCCAAGATGGCCGCATAAGATATAGTAAAGGAACTATGTGAAATCATCCTTTCACAATTTTGAGGTGGCAGATGGTAGCTGTTTTAAATGGGCATTTTAAGCCAGCTATACTTTCACTCAATTGTTTCAAAAAGTAAATAAGCTGAATGTTATCTCCAAATGCTTCTGCTCTTAGTCTTCTGTTGAATATCTGAACATCCATTTCAAGTTGGTTTCCTTTCATATATGTTCATTAATAAAGTTCATGTATTTGTGTGAAAGAGAGTGCATTTTCAAGATGAACATGGGGAAATTCAGGCTTTTGGCATGTACTTTGATAAAAAAAACCTAGAATCCTGAGATTCACTAGCCAAATCCTAATGCAAAAGAGATACATTTGGAGTTCTGAAGTAAAGAATTTGTTTTGCATGCAAGAATGGAGCTTGCAATCTTTCAACAAAAATGTCCTATCCGTGCTATCCGTGCTTTCTTTAATTCTGTAGTATAATTTAGCAGGAAAGGTAGGATCATTTGCTTGCTGTGGTTGTGAAATTATCTGGCTAGTGCCATATTGGGTTTATTGCATGTTAACAGCAGCTGTGCAAGCATGTTAACAGCAGTTGAACTGTGGAGTGTCTACCAAAGATCTACTGCATTGACCCAGAAATCAGGCTATAGATCAGACTTTACCTCTGTTGATCCTTGTTTCAAAGGATGTAAGGCCATATGTATGATGCCAACTGCTCTGAGTGCAGGGGTGTAATACAGTGGGGTCTCGACTTAAGAACTTAATCCGTATTGGAAGGTGGTTCTCAAGTCGAAAAGTTCTTAAGTCGAATCTGCATTTCCCATAGGAATGCATTGAAAACCATTTAATCCGTATCTGCTCTTTTCTGTCCATAGAAACTAATGGGAAGCTGCTATTCTGCCTTCTGCCACTAGAGGGGGATATTTTCTTTCTTTTTTCCCCTTAGGTTCAGGGAAGGCAGGGAACACTAAAGGCAGCACTTTAGAACTCTTTTTTTTTTAAAAAACGAAGCCAATTTTAAATAATGTTTTAAAGCATGTTGTGCTGATTTTTTCAGCACAAAGGCACTCAGGCAGGCTTTTTAGGTGCTGAGCAAGCCTCCGGAAGCCTGCTCAGAGCCAGCTGATCAGCTGTTAGGCGGGGAGAGGAGGGGGGAAAACCACAAAATGGCTGCCAGGCTCTTTCTGGGTGTCGGCTTTTAGCTCTTTCCTGCTCTTATTCCTGTGGTTTGGGGGCTACCAAGGCCTGGTAACTGACTTTATTTAACAGTACAGTATTTATTTTTAAGTTTCTGACGTTTTTCCCCCCTCCAGAAGCCTCTAAGGGGAGGGAGGGGGACTTTTTTTCCTGTTTGTAACTCCAGGGAAGTTCGCATGTCGAGTCCTTACTTTCCCTATAGGGCAGGTTCGTAACTCGAATTGTTCACAAGTCGGGTCGTTCGTAAGTCGAGACCCCACTGTAGTATGTGACAAGGTGTGGTCACAAGGAGCAGATCAGAACCATGGACACCTCCCTGTTCTGTGTCCTGCAAGGAGCAATTGCAAGGACTGTTTGTGAAATCACTTGAGCTGTTACTGACTTTCTATGTCCATCTGGAGAAGCCCTCTGTATTGTAGCAGCACAGGGCTCTGGGAGATGGTTTAGTAGAGAGAAAGAATTGAATGGGCACAGCTGTGATTACTTAGGTAGTGCCAGGCATTGAGATAGTCATGTCTGGCAAAGAACAAGGTACTTTTTGTTGCTTAGAACCATTCTGTCACAGTGCTTCTTCCATTGGTTTTTTATGAGTATCTGCCCATCTACAGAAGAAGCTTGGGGTGGCCTCCCAAAGGCCCATCAACCTTTTTTGAAACCTCACCAAGTTTTAGTGTGAAAGCACTAGTCTGATCTCTGGAACCCTAACCTTTCCCCTTGTCCTTAACTAGCAGGAGCGGACATAAAAATCTCTCCTTGCCAGTCAGTGTCTGACTAAGACATTGCTCATCTGGTTGTGTAATCGGAGATTCTGTGATAATTGTCATCTAAGATTCCATTACAGCTTGCATGTACTTTGACATGCTACCCTTCACAAGGATCAGATGCAACGTGGGCTTTGATCCATTAGACATCTTTTAAATGTTCTTATCTTTACCTATCTGGAAACCCCACCCCATGATATCAGGGAACTGATTGAGCAACCCATCTTAGCTAAACCTCCATGAAAATTTTACGTCTAGGGCAGGGAACATTTTTCTTTCTGAGAGCTGAATTGTTTCAAGTCACATTCATGTGGGGTGCATTTCACTGTAGGTGGGACAAACGCAGGATTACCCAAAGTACCAGCTATATTGTAGCTGAAAGTTCGACTAGTTACAAAACCTTAGGAGGAATATTTTGATTTCTGGAAATGGGGTGTACAAAAATTCATACAAAAGCTAGGAAACCATCAAGTGGTGGTGGTGTTATTGGGAAGGGGGAGCATGGTCAGCTGGGGAATCCCAGGAAGGTTGCCATTGATTCCAAAACCTGACATTCCCCATTACCTGCTTTAGATCTTCATATACCAGGCACTGAGTTCCTGGGCTTCTCTTTCTCTGTAGTGATAAGAGGTGAACCATTTGCACAGTGGGTGATTAATATGTTCCTCCTAGGGCTGCCTGTCTGGATCCACTGCTGCGTCAGCAACAGCCTTGTCTGGCCTCTCTATTGGCTACCTGGGAGAGAATTGGTGATAGACAATGCAGCTGTTGCAGTATTATTAATAATAAGTGTCCCTCCCTCAGTGTTATTTTGGTTAGTTGCATGTGCGATGATCAATGACAGTTTGTGCAAGGCTGGGTTTAGTTTCTTCCCTTTGAGTTTCTTTTCTTGCCCAATTAAAGAACTTATCTGTTCATGCCATATTAAGCGGTGCTTTTGACTACCTGCTGCAATAATGTTCCTTTTGGCTCCCC